CCCCGGTACGTGGCGCGGTGCCCGACCGTGGACCTGGAACAGGTACAAACTACGAGAAACGTAAAAGGAACACGACATTCCGTTCGGAAATTCCAACCGGGAAAACGGGACCACCTTTTTAGATTTTCCACTTTTTCTGGGAATTTTCCAGTGGGACGAACCGACGAAACGTGTTCCATTTACCGCCGAACCGGAAATTCCGGAAATTTTGACTAAATGGAAAGCGCCCTAGTTGACCCTGTTAGGTGGAGAAGGAGGTGGAGTTGGTGGAGATCGATCGGGACATTTTTTCCCCGTGGAGGGGTGATTGTTGTTGTTGTTGTTGATTTTGTTGTTGCTGTTGTGTTTTCTCATTATTGTAATCCTTTAACAATGACCATTATAAACCGTGATGGTTAAGTAAACAATTCAAATTTTAGAGAGAAAACCAAAAGCTCAGAGGAAATTTCTAGCGTAAATCAGGCTCATGCAAACTAAACGCGGGTGCGGGTGGGGGTGACCGGGGTAATTGGCGAGAATTTCAACTTCATTGTTTTCACTGTCCACCCTCCTCAGGATAAGAACTAAGCGCGGAGAGCATCGGGAGGGGAGTGGGGAGAAATCCCTGCTGCGTGGCGTCACCTACTTCCGCTATTGCCTCACTGTTTTGTCTCGTTTTCCTCTCGTGCCTCTCGTGACTCTCGTGCATATTCAAAACAAAAAAAACTGCTTCGACTCAGCACGCACAAAATTTGGATATTTTAAGAATAGGGACTACAGGTCAAATACAAAAGAGGTGAGTTTAAAAACTAGATCGAGAATGAATGCAGCGAAAATCGTTCTCAGTTTATGGAATTCATGACTTTCGTTTGTCTGTTGAACAGATTCGCTTTTGCTCATTAAGATATAACACTCGATCTACAAAATGAAGGTTTTAAGAGAACTTTTTGGGTCCTGCTTCATTTCGAAGTAGAGAAAGATAGTATTTTCATCGTTTTCAACATCTGAAACTCTCGCTAAGTACATTAATTTCCACTGAACTTTCTTCATATTTTCTTTGTTTTTCATTGAAGTCTTTAGTGCGTGTTGTTTCGGTTTCGTTTCCAAAATTGAGCGGTTAACTCATTGAATCGGAAACATTTTATTCCAGCTAGATCTAGAGGAGTGAGGCTCATAAACAATATGATTCACACGAGGGCGATGTCTAGTACACTTTAATATTTGCAGAGATATTAATAATGTGGGATAAAAATACCTTTAATACTTTGCTTTTTTATCAGAGCAAACATCAAAGTTGGCAAGGGTTTTTAAGGAATACTGTATTTAATCGACACCGCTATCGAAGATTGAACTCCGCATACGGAAGCAAAACGTCGCCCTCTTATAGACGCCACACTCAATCTAGTTAATGCAACCGTATTAAAATAATGATTTGAGAAAGACTCTTTTTATTAAAAGCAACGACCGAAATACATCATTTACAAATTATAATATCCGTGACAAAGTCCGTTTTCTTTTTAACAATACTGATTCACATATCAGCAGGCTAACTGATCCACATTTGAAAGACGAAAGGAACATAATTAGTTATACCATTCCATTATATCTTCATTTCCTTAAATTTAGCTGCTTATTGTTATTTCAATCGGTAACACCTGTACAAAATGGTAATTCTGAATAAACTTGTTGTTGTTGTTGACCGTTGTTGTTATTCGAAGATTATAAGAAAAAAACTTGGTAGAAGTTGGTAATCTCCGCACAGGGAGAATTATATGGATTCTATGTTAGCTAGAAAGTGAGGCATTGAATCTTTAAACATCTTACTGTTTGATACAATATTCATTCGGTATCTCGATTGAATAAAAACAAGTGCAAAAGTCAAAAGGGAATAATAGGACTGCGTTGGCGTTGGCTTTAATCCTCTTTGAACCAGACCTGTCTCATACAAATTTCCCGTGACCCATTATTTAATTCACCCTAGGTGGTAATAATTATTAATGACTGAATATTTTCGATCGCTTGCTTTTCTTTTATATACTGTAGCCAGATAACGGCTTCTTACGACATGCGGGGCATCTCTTTGGCAAAAATGTCTGGGTCGACTGAGTTTAAATAAAACTTTATTTTAATATTTTGCTTGAACCGTAAATAACCGCTTGGATTTTCACAATTTTCGCAATTACAGTGAGGATTCTTTCTTTGACAGGTTGATGTTCGTCAAGGAAACAACGTCGATCTAGCTAAGACGCCTAGTTGTTTTCTATTTCCCTAGATGGAACGGCCACCACTCTACAGTTCAGTTGAGACAACAAATGGAACAAAGTTAAGCAGGCTGCTTATTGATGGGGGAACAAGAGTCCTGAAAAATTTGTTCAATACTTACTATCCCCCCGCCAATCTGGTGCCAGGCCTCAATGCTAAATATCTGATCCTTAATGACCTGTTAAGGAGGAAAGTTTTGTTTAGAAAGCAGTGGGACTTGTTGTTTCCCTCACGTGGGGATATACCAGATTCCAACACTTTTGATATCTCTTTACTCTTTATTTTGTTGACCAACATTTGTGGATTGTCTCCCCCATCATCAGGATGGCATGCAAAGCCAGCCTCCAATGACACCTCTCTTGAAGCAAACATTGCTTATTTGAAGTACTTCCGCAACGCGTTGTATGGTCATGTGACCTCCACTGGAGTCGACACCTCAACGTTTTCTGCCCTCTGGCAGGAACTCAGCGTTGCGCTTGTGGCTCTTGGATTGGATCAAGCGGAAATAGATAGGCTGAAGGAAGAGCGCTGTGGTGAAGAACAATACCTGAATGTTGTATTCGACTGGGTAGATAGTGATGCTGATATCAAGTCACAACTAAAGGACGTAATACGAGCTCAGAAAAACACGCAACAAGTTGTAGAGGAAATGCATAAGATGCTCAGAAAGAGTCTTCCTAATGCTTCGCGATTAGAAGAGAGTGCATCGAATGAAATCCTTAAGAACCTTGCTAAATCTGAGTTTAAGGGAGACATCGAGTTTCATGTGGGAAGATATCAGCCTGAAACCCGTGATTGGGTCTTCAAAGTAGTCGAGGACTGGCTGGACGACAAATGCTCTAAAAACCGGGTGCTGGTGATCAGTGGAGATGCAGGAATGGGCAAATCAGTGATTGCGGCTGTAATTTGTCAAAGAATGCAAGAAAATGGCAGACTATCAGGAAGCCACTTCTGTCAGCACAACAACTTTCGATATAGAGACCCTCGACTTATGCTCCAATCTTTGGCTTGCCACTTGTCTCATGCCCTTCCCGAATACGAACGTGCTCTAGTGGAGCAACTTTCACGGAATGTGGGCACTGAGTTGGACAACCTCGGTGTAGAAGACTTATTTGCACTACTTTTTAAAGAGCCTCTCAGCACTGTGTCTGACCCTGGTAGAAACATTCTTACCGTGATAGATGGCTTGGATGAGAGTGAGTATCAAGGACGGAATGAATTGCTTGATGTGATTGCCAATCAGTTTTGTAAGCTCCCTCTTTGGATTCGATTTCTCGTCACCACAAGACCAGAGAAAAATATTATAGAGAGACTTAAACGTCTAAAGCCATTTCATTTGGAACCAAGTGGCGAGAAGAATTTGCAAGACATCAGACTGTTTTTTCAAAGCCATTTACAGGATGGTCCTGACAATGACTGCCTGGACAAGACTATATTGAACAAACTAGTGGAGAAGTCTGAGGGGCTGATGCTATACGCTTATTTCCTTGTGGAAGGTTTGGAGAATAATGTAGCTCGTCTAGACCAAGTGCACGTAAGTGGCAGCCCTCCTCTAGGCATTTCGTCTGTTTATCTTTCGTATTTTAAACGTCTGGAGGCAGATCTTCAGAAGGAAGTTGGAATCAGCGAGGAAACTTTTCTGACTTTTCTTTCAATTGTGACCGTTGCTAGGGAACCGTTGCCACTCTCTATAATATATAAAGTATTAGGACCTCACGCAAATGGCACTTCTAGATCTAACCAACGACGAGTAAACAAAGCAATCAGCTGTGTTTCTACTCTGCTCCCTATTCGCGACGGCCGCCTTCACTTTATTCACAAATCGGTCAGAGACTGGTTAACTGACAAATGCTTGTATGGAGATCATGATTTTCTTGTGGACGAGGGGCAAGGACACCGCCTTCTTGCAGAGATTTGTCGAGTGGTTCTTGATGAGGTTAGACTAAAGGAAGTTCACGGCAGATGTTTTAGTGACACTGATAGATACGCTCTGCAGCATGGTGTTCAGCACATGCTCAAGGGGGAAAAGGAATTAAGGTTTGTCAATTTCCAGGAGACGGTGGAGAAGTATGTGATGGATTTGGAACTTGTTTATGCAAAACTTTGTGTTCACAACGCATACGACACAGCAGCTTCCGAAGATGTTCTTTTGATACAGACCCAAGATATATCACACAAGCTTCCGGAGCAACTTCAGGGAGCTCTCAACAAATTATTGTTTGTGCTTCAAAAGCATCGCAACACACTGCGGAGTCTTCCTAGTAATTTTTTCCAACTTGTTTTGAACGAGGGAGGGCAAGAGTTAGCAGATAAAGCAGCCAACATGTTGCAGAACAAATACTATGACATTCCGTACATGGAAAACCTCGCTGAAGAAGCTTCCGAGGGCATTACGTCAGTGAAACTTCACTGCTCGGACACAGTAGCTTGCATCGATGTCTCACCACAATTAGATTACATGGTTTGTGAATGCCATGACGGATCAATACAACTGTGGTCGCTTAAGACAAGAAAGCTAGAATGGGTTCGCACTGTCATATATAGAAAAGAGTACTCTGGAGTTCCGTTTGGTAGTGCGTATAAGATACCTCCCTCGTCTGAAGATGCCGACTCGACATTAAGGCCTCTTTCGTGTTATCGCTCGGTGGTTTTCCATCCTAATGGTAGGTTCATATTGCCAGGGAACCTGAGCCAAGTATATAAAGTGAACGGAGAAAAAGAAACTCTCTTTCCTTCATGTACTTGCGCTTTTACTTTTAGTCTGTTTTCCGAAGATAATACGAGAATGCTAACTGATTGTATTGACAAAAGATCATGTGTGATCATGTGGAATTTGGTAAATGGAACTGAAGTCACCCGCATTGAACGACGTGAGCCGATTTTATCCTTCACGTGTTCTCAAGATGGAAAACTTTTGGCACTTTCACATCCACATTCAGTTTGTCTTTTTGAAGTGGCGCGAGATAATTTTCGATTCATGGAAGAAACCACTACGCCAGTAGCTTGTGGATTAATGAAGTTATCTCAAAACAACCAAGAACTTACTTGCCTCCATCTCACTGAATTTTCCAAACGGCTGCTCCATTTTAACATTCATTTCAATCACTCTCAAAGTGTTCCTTTGACTTCTATTTTTGAGAGGACTGATGAAGACCTTGAAAGTTCCGGTGAAAGTTGTCCTTGGGAATTTGAGCAAGGGGTAAACATTAGATTTCTGTTGGGAGACCTTACTTCCCTGTCAAGCGAAGCATTGTCCACTGTCGTCCCATTTTGGGAAGTAGGGATTCTCTCTGTATTGAACGAGGAAATAGCATTGATGAGCAGCCCTGATCTTAATTACCTAAGTCTAATTAACGTCAGAAACCTGAGCGAAAACATTGAAAATTCCAAAATGATTGTGAAAGAGATCGCATTTTCTCCAAATGGGAACAGGCTTTACGTACTCGGTGAGGATGCAACCAGGCAAGTAACATTGACGGTCTGGGATACTTCCCACGGAAACAGGATGCGTGGACGAATAAACCTTTTCGTGACATCGTTTATTCCTGTTACGCAGGGTGTTGTTCTGTTGGCGCAAAACAAGCAACCTCAACTGTGGAACTTGGATGTGTGCGAGTGCATTAGAAGCTGGGACTCGCTAATGGGTATCACGAAGATGATATCAATTTCAAACGAACTAATTGCTTGCGTAGGAAGCCAAGGAGAGGTTATCATCTTAGAAGCTGTGGCAAATGGGACTATTTTGTGGACAGGTGTACCGATGGGACAGAGGCGAGTCATTGCCTGTAACAGTGAATACCACCTTTTAACTGTTGGTCCAAAATACCAGATCGACACCATGAGCAAAAGTGGTACAGAAGGCACACTACAAATGTCAAATATCGGATGTATCGTTTGGGAGAGAGATTTGACTCTTCCGTTGTGCGAAGACCATGCGCTGCCTCACTGTATCTTCTCTCCAAAAGAAGATTTGATGATAGTTTGGGGCGAGCCAATCATTGATGGTCCAGGGGTGCATATATTAGATTCAGCTTCAGGAAACACGTGTCGCACTCTTCCAAACAGCAAAAACGTTGTTGGCTGTCAGTTCGTCGGTGATAAAGAGGTTTTGGTATACAATAAAGTTATAAACGTTCTTCGAATGTTCAGTGTCACGTCCGGAAATCTACTTAGTGTGATGGACATGGAAGAACGCCCAAAGTGTGTGGCGGTCTGTCTTTGCCGAAATCTTATCGCTGTTTGTTTTAAAGGCTTCACATTCAAGCAGATCCAAGTGTGGCTACCGGGAACGAAAGGCACAAGAAAATGCGAAAGGTTAGTTTATAGATTGAGCGATTGCATTACCGACCCGGGGATTACTGATTTATTTATACTCACGGAAGCAGCGTATATGAGTGATCAGAGCGCAGGCCTGGGGGCTTCGGGAGCGCACGGCGTGCAGTGCAAAATCCCCGAGGAGTTCTGGTCCCCTCCTGACCGCTTTCGGTAGTTCCATTATTACATAAAAGCTCATTATGTTCCCCATGTGAGAAGACCTTGTTATAATGTTATAATTTAGGGACTGGGCCGATTTATGTTTATTGGGGCGGTTGGAGGGGGGGGAGGGGTCGTCGATATTAATGGACAAGACAAGACAATATATATTTGGGGTCTTATACCACCTGGTACATCGATGGTTGGTAACGAAAAAGCTACAATCTCCAGAGGTTAGATCTCCTGACGTTGGCCACTCTGCATGGGGTAACTTTTTGAACTTTTTGAACTAGCTGTCAGTAATATTTTGTATCTGTTGCAGGGTCTCGCAGATTGAGCAACCGAAAGGATGGCTTGGTCGGCTATTAGATCTTATCATTCAGGGCTAACATTGAAAGTAGCCATTTCTGGTAGTCGTTTTCTAGGTTGACGTGGCAGTATCACGATAATTTTCCCACATTTTTTATCTGAACGACCTCCTCCGTTATTACAAAGAGTACATTTGCTTATAAAGAACAAATGGCTGCGTCGAAAAGGACCCCCCCCCCCCCCCCAAAAAAAGCTAACAGATTAGGACTGCGTTTTTCTTCGTCATACTCTTAAACTAAACAAATGCTAAGAGATTAATAACTGAAACAAATAGAGTGGAACCTCCGTGTGCGACTTCCTCTAATAAGTGATGCGCGACCATCTATCTAAAACACCATAATCTTCCCTGTCAAATCACTACAGTTGGTAAACGATCACCTATCGAAAGCGACCATGAACACTTTCGGGTGTTACGGTTTTAAAATAGATTTCCCACCTGAACTTGATCTCAATGCTTGCTGTAAGTACTACTTTGCCATGATCTTTTAGCGGCCACAAGGAGCTATACCGTAACTTTGAATTTGCAATGCAATGTATTCTCTTTCAAAAATTAGATGTGTCAGGACCTCGTCTTCGAAAAGACCCTCTATAGTTCCATTCTCGTAAGCATTCACCTTCCGTAAGCAAGCGCTCAATTGTTTTCGCAGATTGGGAGGTCACTTACGACAGGTACGTCAACTCCCGGGGTGGGGAGAAGGGGGGGGGGGCACTCGAGGAAAGTTTGGGAAGAGGTGTACCGCCCACATGCCACACCTTTGTTGAAGGCCCTGTCAAGTACTTTGCCATCGAGGTCAATGACTTTGGAATTCGATAAGATGATTGTTGTTATTGTTTTCAATTTATTTTATTATGCTATTTTACGAAAAAGAAAAACATCACTAGTGTACTTACCTACTCAGTGAACAGTATAAAAATGCCCTTTAGCTAGCCGTATAGGCACAAGAAAATGAATTTAGTAAGCTGATTCATAGTTTTGACACCGAGTATGTAGCGATCCCCTCAAGACATTTTAATGCACCTTCCGCTGTTTTGAACGGGGCATGATTTTCAGAAAAAGGAAAAGCAGGTCATTGAGGTGGAACCGGTGGTCATTACTACGAAAAATAGCCTACTGTTCCATTTATTTTAGTGGCCACAATAATTTCCTGCTGGTTCTAAAACAATGAAAAGGTGCATTGAATTTACCCGCTCGGTCCGCGCTACGCGCTCGGTCATTGTCTTTAAGACGGCCTCGAAGGAGCCCGGGAGAAGAAAGGGCGGGAAGGGGGATCTCTACGACGGCTGGGAGCGGGGAAGACATTAAAAAAGACAAGCTTTCGTTATCTGTTATTGCTTATCATCCACTGAAAGAAACGAACCCAAACAACGTCCATTTAACGTTCTCCGAGGCTTAAAGCAAAATTTTATATGCGAGAAAAGTCAAAAACCAAAAATTCGTACTCGGGATAAAGAAAAAACAGCATTACTTGCGGTCAAATTGGAAACCTTTCCAAGTCGCTTACACCATAGGTCACGAATGAGACGGCATGACACATGTACACGTGTGTGGACCGTGTCAGTCGTGTAAGTGTCTCGTCTCTCTCGCTAAAGGGCGTTAGTCGGGAGACAAAGGGATACAAGGGTACGGAAGGCGGGAGGATGATCAACCCCGTCCCATCCCCCCCTCCTTCCCCCCCACCGCTTTACTACTGCTACCAGAATCCTTCACGGTTTTTCTTTCTTGTGAAAATTGGGGCTTTCTTTTTAAAACCTCGCTGCGATGACATGACCACGGTATTTTAACATTACCTTGTAAATGAAACATGAATTATTGTAAAGAGTGCTTATTGCATGTGATTTAAGAACTGGTGGCTTTTTTTATTCATAAATTATTCAACCAGTTTTCTAACATTTTTTAATTTTTTATTTTTAATTGACTGTGAAAATCCCCGCACTTAAGTTAAGTCTGTCTGTCTTAAATGTAATAAGTGTCGTAGCCTTACTCAGCCTGTCTCGTGTTGCTTTTAATTTCGTGATTATGTACTACCGTATTTATTCGATTAACCGCCCTGGGCGCTTATTAAATTTTTGGACCTTGAGAGTGGGCGCTAATTCGAGGTGGGCGCTTATTGGGGGCTGGGCGCTTATTAAATTTTCAACATTTTTAGCAAGAGTAGTATGTTTGTTTTGCAACAAAACAATAAATGGTAATAACAAAACGCGAACTGGTAACAAAGCAAAGTTCCTGTAAAATGCCTTGAAGAAAACTCCGTCTTGGGGAAGTCTCTTATTAGTACTTATTCCATTTTTGGGGGGTGGGGTGGGGTGGTCGCTTATTTGAGTTTGAGTGGGAGTGGGAGGGAGGTGGGGTGGGGTGGGCGCTTATTCGAGGCTGGGCGCTTATTAACTTTTTCTGCCTTTAGGATGGGCGCTTATTCGAGGTGGGCGCTAATTCGAGGTTGGGCGCTTATTCGAATAAATACGGTAATTTTAACTATTCTTATATTTTTTAATTTTCTGAGCCCGTAGTAACTGGCTCACGCTGTTTCGGAATCCCTGCCACTTTGTTTTTGTTATTCGTTTGATTACCTGAATGTATTTATATTATGTTGGCGAAGCTAATAAAATAAGAAAATAAAATAACTTGTGTTTTATTTACCTTCACGTAGTAAAAACAAATTAAGCATATTTGATAAAGCATAACAAAAAACGGAGATTGGTGACAAAAGCAAATTAAATTGACACTAACTGAAACAACGCATGGTTGTCATCCCCTCCCCAACCCCCACCACCCCCCAAATATATAACAACAACAACAACAACAAGAACAACAAGTTTTTTCAGTTTGCCATTAAATAGAGTTTCACCGTTCCCGTTATCAATCGATAAAAATCACCTGATTACTAACAATCCTTATTGATTCGATTTTTGTCTATTGGCTACTCCAAGATGTAACTACACCTAGAACTGCTACTTTGCAACTCAATTGTCAACTAATTTACTGCTTGCATGAAATCAGTTTTCATTTTTGGATGAACAGATGATCAGATATATCTTGACTACTCTGGGTTTCAATAGCTGTCGATGTAACAATTTTCGGAACAAATTGAGACAATAGTGACCTTAAGCAAGTACGACGACGACGGCAGTGAAAACGTCGTCAAAAAAATGAATTTGCGTTCTTTCAAACTTAATCGCGTCTATTTGGACCCGCCCAATATGTCAAATGTAGTCGACTTTTCATGGAGTTGAATTCTTAAGGATTTTATTCGGGTTCAAAAAGAGGAAGGAAGATTCGTCTTCGTATGTCCACGTCCTCCATAAAACGTCAAATTAGGAGGTTTTACGTCGTAGTCGTGCAGTGGACGTCAAAGAAATGTACTAAAAAGCGTGATGCACGTGCAGAGCTGTTGTTTTGATCATTAATTAAACCTATTGTTTTTTGAAGTCGTCGTTGTGGTTGTCGTCGTCGTCGTAGTTGCTTAAGCTCCTTAATGTCGACAATCAACGACATCTTAGCAGCTGTATCTCTTCAAACAGCCTTGCCGCTAAGCCCTTTTCCCACGATATCTGAGAAGTTATTAGACACACGGACGTTTAATATACTGCGCTGGGATAATCTGCTCTTGTGTTGTCATGCAAAATATGGCCTCTTCGCAAGTAAGTTTGAATTTTCTTTCGTCGAATGCTAAACCCGTTAGTTTATTGGATAACGGTGAGTAACAGTCATTTAATGACACCAGTATATAAAAAAACTCTTCAAATACAAAATTAAAAGAAAAACCTAGCTACAGGTCATAAAAATGATCTCCTAAGGTTCTCTGTTTTACTTGCTAATTGTAAGTCATTTGATGACACCAGTATATAAAAAACTCTTCAAATATAAAATTAAAAGAAACACCTACAGGTCATAAAATCTCCTAATATCTCCTAAGATTCTTTGTTTTACTTGCGACGTTAACGTTCACACGGCACGGCACCAGACGAATTTTCGACCGGCTGAAAAATTTGACCGGACACTTGGTTCACACGGAACCCTTCAATATCTTCGCTCTGTTCACCCGAAACCTTGAACGGCTAGGCGTTTAAATTTTCGTACGGTTAAGTTGGTTCCGTGTGAACAGAACACCTAAACGCAGGAACTTTAAACCGTTTGAAAATTCGTCAAGCGCTATGTTTAGTTAACGTAGCCTGATATACGTCATTTAATGACATCAGTATACAAAAAACTCTTCAAATATAACATTTTAGCTGTGATCCATGATACTGATTGTAAGTTCTTAGGTTTTTTGTTTCCCTTGATATACTACCTCATGTAAAAATACCTACAAAAAACTCTGCAATCATCAACCTTACACAAATGGTTATTATAATAGATATTATCTCTTAAGGTTCTCTGTTTTACCTGTTAATAATCATTTACTGACAATGCAAAAACGTTTTTAACTATAAACGGTTTTTAAATGTAAAACTAAAGCTATTGCTCGGCGAATAAACAGTGAAGATTACTTAGGTTAGTACACTGTAGTGTTGCATTGCAAATACTATTACTTAAACTAACAGAGAAATCTTAAAAAATAAACAGTGGGCTATTGCTAATGATACTGAAAATAACTGGTTCTGTTGGTGTTCTGTCTTACTTGACCTGTTAATAATAAGTCCTTGTCTAATAGAGAACTCTTCTAATAGAAACATTAAACTATTGATTTCGATACCGAACATAAGTTCAGGTTCTCTGTTTCACTAGGAAATATTAAACTAAACAAACACAATCTTAAAAGAAACTTCTTCACCGTAAAAACGAGGGCTGTTAATTAACTTGTTTAATGATGGAAAAGACTCTTTGAATAAAAAATTTAGAATAAACTCTTCTCAAAATTACTAAGTGAACGTACACAATCCAGTATACAAATACCTTATTTTGTTTTACTTGCTTACACAAAGTTATTTAATGACAGAAAGAGAAATTTTTCTAAAATACATTCCTTTATCTATTGTGATTACGATACTATACGTACTTTCTCTAGGTTGTTTCATAGTTCTGTTTAAATTTTCAAATACCCATTAATGCTTATAGAAACCTCATCAAATATAAGCTTTGTAAGTGCTACGGCCTACAATACGTAGTATCAGTCCTGAAGGTCAGTTTCTGTTTTACTTGCTAATATTTGCTTTACGTCCTCGTTTAATGATACTCCCTAATGAAGACCCAAAACGTTTTATACTGTTGACAGCGTTTGAAGGTTTTCTTCGCAAAGTATTGCTGAAACCGCCTCGTGTTATTTTGGGACTGCCCGTTTTACATGTCAGATACAGATCCTTCATCACCATGGAAGCTTAGAAACCTGTGCCAGATTGATAAGGTAATCAAAAAGAAAATGTTAACAAAAAATGCGCTGCATTGTAATGAAAAACATCACCACAATCATCAATATCAAAAACATCTACAATAAATGTCAGGGGCACCCAACGGCAATTTTCGGGAAAATATCTGTTCGGAAGACGATTTGAGATCTAGAATTTTCTGAGCATTTGTTGTAAAATTTCTTGCTTGCCTGCCTCTCCTAGAATTTTTGAACATCTACAAAATGGTATAATTACTCATTTTTAACGGATTTTGACCCTAAAAAAGGCCACCTAGGATTTTCGGGAGCCTTTTCCCGGCTGAAATTTTCGGCCTATTATCCCTATAATTTTCGGATCACTAGATTTTCAGCTAGGAAATCTGAACAGATGGAAGTTTTTAGGGGATAAAAATATGCCTATATCTACCGTTTGAATAGTAAAATACGTTCAACAATGCTATGTTAAGTGGTTTTGAACTATATCCTCGTTGGGTGCCCCTGAAATGTAAGAGGCTGTCAACGGTTCTTAGTTCAAATAGTTTTAGTTCCAAAAGCAGCATCTTTGGAGTACGACTTTCGGAAGCAATCATTACATCTTAAAACATTTTACGACACTGGAACCTCGATATAACGATCGAACTCCTCGGTATAACGAACGATTTACTTTACCCCAGTCATAGTAAGATACATGAAAAAGAATCTCAATATAGCGAACAGATTTTGCCAGCCCCTTCGCCCTTTGTTACATCGAGGTTCCGCTGCATCACAGTTGAAGGGTAAGGAAATAAAAGAACGTCACACTCACAACTTCTACAGCGGTTTACGTACAGATCGCAGTCCTCGTCCGTGGTTCTTGAGCTCTCAGAAACTGTAAAAAATGAAAATGCGATTAAGTTTCACTGTATATACTGGAAGTGAACGTTTAGAGTTAAAAACGTTTGTTGAAGTACTGATATAATTTGTACCTACAATCACTTTGTATTAATCCACAGGATTAGAAAGTTACTGTGTAAAAAAAGTAACTACTGACCTGGACTACATAAAGATGATGGGGGAAAACCAACTTAAAAAACCAACAGCCACCCGCAATGTACGCAAGCCATGCAATTACAACATGCCTAATTATTCATTCGGATCTAGAAGCCCATATAATAAACATTTGTATCTATTAATTTCGGCCTAAAGTTTTAGCTACATTTCAGTTGTTCCAAATACAAATAATTATCATTAAAAACTCGGTTCTTTGAATCAGACCAATTAATCGACTGACTGTTAGACTCTATTCTAGACTTCATGGAGTAAAATTTCTTTTAACCCTAATCAAACCCCAGCTTCAGTATGCATAGTCTCCTCAATGTTCTTTTCTGCACAATTTCTTTTGCTACCATTTAATAACCAAGCCCTTCTTCACTTGCTAAACATTTCCCTTTTTCTCGCCACCTTTATGTAATTGCTTGAGCAGTTCTTACTATTAGGACAAATCGAATGTTGGTCTTTCCTAAGGAGTAGGGGGTTAAAGCTTCGTAGAGAACGACGAAAACTAGGTCACCCTCGGGTCTGTTTGCATCAAAATATTCGCGGAGGTAATACAAGCGCTAACATTCGCATAACACTTCTTATTCGGTGTGACCGTGTCTGCTCGACGCAAGTAAGTAATTTTAAAAAACAAACGCATTGCTCACCTTTTGATCTCCGGTTGACTTTGTCTCGCGGCACTCTAATTACTTCAATAAAAGGGTGCATACGTTTGGAGTTCCTTCGGCCCATGGCGATCAAACCCTTTTGCGGAAAAGCAGCCAAACAATAAGGCCCGTTCGTAGTATAAACATCAAGTACGCTTAGCAAATCCCCAGTCCTAACATTAAACAACAGCAAATGGTAACCTCTTGAAGAATCCCTGCGGTCAATTACACATTCCTCGTTACTTATAAACGCACAGTTGGAAACATCATCGACTGAGCATAATGTGCGGAGAGTGTTTCCTGAAGAAGCGTCAAGCACGTGAACTTCTTGCCTACTCTGAGAGGTTCCAGCCGAGACAAGGACAAACTCTTCCGTTGGAGTAAACATCCCAGCTATGTTGCCGCGTAAAAGAGAGTTTCGCCAAGATCTCTTCCATAGTATACTTTTCCCGTCTGACAGCTGAACTGAGTCCCGAGCGGTGCATAACAGCTGATATTTACTGTTGCATTTTACGAATCTTTCATGCAACCATGGAGATCTTAAGAAGTTTTCTTCAGATTCTTCATGACTATGTGCGATGGTCTTCACTATTTCTCCACTTGATGTGTCCAGGATGCTCACTTCACATCCTCCTCCCACACAGGCTACACATTGGTCTGTAACTGGGGATATATAAGCAACATTCTTTAAACTGGGCCAACTTCGGACTTCTTGTGACAAATTAAAATTCCACAGCTGAACAGCCGCGTCAGGATGATCCCTTTTCAAAAGGACACCTTTTGACACGGGTACAAGACAAATTCCACTAACTTCAAAATGTTCATCTTCCATGTATGTGTCCATGAATGAAAGCTCTAATTCGTAGTCATCTGCTGAAAAAAATTTCTTTCCTATAATTTTTCGGCTTGACACATCAAAAGCCATCACTTCAACACTACCGCGAACACCGTAAATGGTCTTCCCATCTAAAGCGAAGGCAATATTAGAGACAAGACTGTCATATTGTTTGACATCTTTGAGTGCAACGTGACTGTATATTTCAACATTGTTAATATTGTTGCTGCGGGGATATGCCCTTACTAAACATTGCTTGTTTAAGACAAACACAAAGGTATCAGAGGGTCGGGATATAGAACCGTCCTGGAAATTAGAGATAGGATCTCCCATCAAGAATGCACCCTTGCTGGGGGATTGATAATCCCAAGGTTCCAAGCATTCGTTTCTGTCAACATTAACAAGGGAAAAGGTACCCGAAGGCCACTCCTGGACTTGCAATTGAATTAGCTCTCGGAAACCACTCAAAATTCCTGCTCCGCAAAGCAAACAAAACAGGAATTTGAGGTTAGGGGCAAACTTCATCATTCCACATGGTTCAAAAGTGTTGACCTCTGCAAGTGTCTCAAAGCAATTTAATGCATCAACCAAACATACCAGTCCCGAAAAATGGGAAATCGCTAGTGGTCCTCCATCTGAAGACCAAGCAAAAGACAAAACTACCTCATTTCTGACAGTTCGAGATATTTCGTCACCGTTTTTTAGATTCCACATGATAAGGCATCGAGCATCGTCAAGGGAGTCAGTAATCATGGTATCCCCATTAACTGAACAAACCGAAAATCTGCAGTTGCTCCTAGGGAACAGGGGTAGGAAGTCTCCGTCAATTGAGTACGCATGGCTAAGGATTCCAGGGAGAACAATGGGCTCAGAAGGGTGAAAAACAACAGAGCGATAACATGACAATGTAGATGTGTTCGGCACCATTCTAAACGCGCCCTGGTCTTCAACGTAATGTTTCTCGACCGTGACAGAACGTTTCCACATTAGCTTCCCCGTTTGTAGTGACCACAGCTGAATCGTACCATTTCTACATTCACACACCATGAACTCCTGCTGAGGTGAAATGTCAAAGCAAGCCACTTGAGAGGTGCAGCGAAACACAGCTTGGATTCCACTTATTTGCTCCTTCGCAGCTCGCTTATTAACAAACTTCATGATGGGTATTTCATGATATTGGATATGTAAAAGCTCTTTCGCTTTCTTAGCACAATCTTTTCCTCCCTCCTTCATCATCACTTGAAAGAATGTACTAGGAATCGCCGTCAGCCTTTCGTGGTACTTTCTCAAGAGGAACAACATCGTGCTAAGGGTTCTTTTACTCCTACGACTCAATGCTCTAAAAAGTTCATGTCTCTGAACACGAATAATGTCTTCAGAGCTAGTCGCGTTGTTTACACACAACTTTGCAAATACAATCTCTAAGTCGATTACGTAGTTCTTGACGATTTCTTTAAAGCTGGATGCTCTCGTACTCTCTTCCAACTCGAGCAAATGATCAACACCATGCTGTAGGGCGTACCTCGCAGGGTCACTGAACTCTGCTCCGTGAACACCTTTCCTTTTAACATCATTTAATTCACGAGTGCAAAGCTCAGACAGGGCAAGTTGACCTTGTTTTTCATCCACAGACAAGCTGTGTTGCCCGTAAGCAGTTCTGTCAGTCAACCAGTCCTTAACTGATTTGTGAAAGAAGTGAATGCGGCCATCTTGAACAGGTAGAAGGGTTGAGATACATTCGATAGCCTTTCTTACTTTCTTGTGACAAGCTGGAGACTTTGCGTCCGAACGCAACATCTTAGAAACAAAGTCTAGTGGAAGAGGTTCTTGTGCAGCTGCAAAAGCACTAAGAAAAGTCAAAAACTGATCAGCACTTATCGTCAGTTCCTCAATACTTTTCAATTCTTTCTCCAAACGTTCAAAATAATTCTGATAAACAGATGATACACCTGAAGGTAACGTTCTTCCCAAATCCTCAGGGGTGAAACTTGAAAAGTTTTTGTTGATAAAATCGACCATCAAATAGGCGTATAAAATATGACCAGCAGCTTTTCGGGCCAGTTCACTGATAACGACTTCTTCAAAGCCCGATTGAATAACGTTGCTTAGCTGTCTCTCAAGAAAGAGTCTGATGTCTTTAAGGTTTTCTTCGTCATCTTGCTTGAGCTGAACAGGATTAAACTTTTTAAGACGGCCTGCGATGTTTACTTCCGGTCGAGCGGTAACACAAAACCGAACCCAAGCAGGAAGTGTGCAAAAGTGATTAGCAATGACATCAAGCATCTCATTGCGGCCTTTGTATTCACTTTCATCCAAGCCATCAACAACTAACAGCAAATTTCTACCAGGGTCTCCTACGCTGCATAGAGGCTCTTCGAAAAGAAATTCGAACAATTCCTGGACTTCTAGGCTGTTCATGTCCACACCCAAGTTTCTAGAAAGTCTCTTCACAAGTTCACTTTTGTATTCTGGTAAAACATCACACAGCTGACAAGCTAACGATTGAAGCATCACTTTAGGGTTTCTGTAACGTTCCTTGTTATAATGACAAAAATGACTTCCCGAGAGCCGGCCAGCTTCTTCCATTTTTTGACAAACGACAGCGGAAATCACTGATTTACCCATTCCCGCATCTCCACTGATTACCATCACACGATTTTCAGATGTAAGGTCGTCTAACCACAACTTGATCTTCTCAAAGATGTGCAAGCGCGTTCCCTCCTGGTATTTCCCAGCGTGATATTGGATGGTTTTTTCGGTGTTAACGTTCGCCAATTTTTGCAGAGTTTCATCTTCTTCAACTTTATCTCTTCTGTCTTCAGCATTTACAGCGTCACATGTGATCTGTTGCCGCGATTCTTGTTGGTCTCTCCGAAAATCCTCTAACATCTCTTTTGCATCCTGCACAGACCGCTGAACACCTTGGATGACTTGGTGTGTGTCTTGAAGAGTTCTGTGGTCCTCTTGCTGCAATTTCACTGCCTCTTTTTGCATCTCTTGTAAACTACCAACTGCCTGATGTGTATCTTGAAGCGTTCTGTGGTCCTCTTGTTGCAATCTGCTAACCAAAAATTGAGTCTCTTCTACTTTACTAACTGTTTGGTGTGTAATTTGAAGCGTTCTGTGGTCCTCTTGCTGCAATTGAATAGCCTCTAATTGTGTCTTTTCTACTTTGCTGACTGTTTGGTGTGTATCATGAAGAGTTTTGTGGTCCTCTTGTTGCAACTTGCTGGCTTCTGCTTGTGTCCGTTGCACTTTTTCAACAATTTGATGTGTGTCGTTAAGAGTTCTCTCATCTTCCTTCTGGTTTTGGAGCACTTGTTGTTGTTTGCGAATTACGTCTTTTAATTGGAATTTGATCTCATCGTCATTTTTCATCCATTCAGTAACAGCGCTGACATAGTCCTCCCCAGAAGGCTCTCGCTTCAATTTGTCCACTTCAGACGGATTCAATCCAAGCGAAACAAGAACGGAACTAACTTCCCGCCATTTCACATCGAACACTGGTGTTGGAATGCCAGTTGTTGCCACGTGACCATAGAGCTCGTTTCGATAGAACTTGACGCGAGCAAGATTAGCCTCTGTAGAGGTGTCACTCGCGGGAGGCATTTTGTGCCAAGAACCTGAGAGGGGAGGGGATAGGCCACAAATATTCGTCAGTAAGAGAAACAGAAGAGTGATATCAAAGTTCTTAGAGTTTGGATGCCCTCCAGCTGGTGGAAACAGGTTTTCCCATTGACTCCCGTTAAGAATTTTCCGACGCATAAGTTTAACAAGAATGGAATAGTTTGCATGAAGGTTACTAGCCAAGTTGGAAGGAGGGTGATAAGTGTCAAAAATATTCCTCAGTACTGTTGTTCCACCATCTATGAGAAGTCTGCTCAGCTTGTTTCCATTCGTCTTCTCTACGGAGCTGGCCAGAGGTGAAGGTGCTGCGGTCGCCATTGAAGCCTGAGAAAGAAAAATCCGCTACCTATTAAATCTGTGTGGAAAATAATAAATAAACTACAAATACGTCTCTCGCAACCTCTCGCGAAACTCCGTGTTGCACACAAGTTACTAATTATTGAAGCACACTCCTTTACGATTGGTGAGAAAAAAAATATCGCACTAAAAATACTCTTCTAAGTTAAAACTCAAGTGTAAAGGGGTCATTGACAGCATAACAGAGGATACCTGATAAGAAGTTTCTGTCCCTGGTTTAAAACTTCGAGGACGGTTCTACAAGCACCAATCATACATAATGACGAAAAATGCCAAATGTTTAATAAAATTTAAGAAGGACATGTCAAATTTTGGAGGCAATCTAATGCCCTAGGAATTTCCCTATGTGCGATCAAGGAACAAGAAGCTCAAGTTTCAAATCAAAAGTTGCTACAAAAATTCACATCTAACACTAATGACAAAATGTCAAAAGACAAGTTTACTCACAGGCTGTAGTATGACTTATTGCAAGTTGTAGAACCTATATTTCATTAATGCCTACAAAAAGAAAACTAATATGATAAAAAGAACAAAAACGTTTCACTTATCACACCAAAAAAATGAAAATTATGATACCATAAACAGAAAACTGGGTAAAATGTTAAGTTGATTTACATGCTCTGAAGTCTCAATTTCCCCCACTTCCCCTGCTCCCTGTCTTTCCCTTGCTTTCACTAACCCTCCCCTCTTCCATGCCCAACAAATCCCCACTCCTCCTCCACAACCAACACTTTCACTCCCCTTTCCCCTCCCCTTCATTTACCACAGCCACCATCAATGTGTTGCTTCTAATATATGCTGACAAAATTGTGCTCACTGGTGCATGGTGAATGTTAAAAATGCTAGAAGGGTGTAACAACAAGGACATGGCCTTCTCCTCAAAACACGAAACAACCCCATTTGAATTTCAGATCTAGACCAGGGACAAACACACCCCCTCCTCTCCTAAGAGGCCTCATGTACATGTATAACAGAAGCATCACATTATCGACAGTCATTGGATGACTATTTTTGTTGGGCCCAATTAATTTTCATTGGGTTTTCAACCTAGATTGGGAAGAATTATGTCAAAAACTAAAGGAAAAGTGGAAGCATTACCTCGTCTACAGGGAAAGATGCCAATTATTTAAGGCATCCGTGTATGCTAACGACCCGTAATTTCTAGCTGCATAAACAACTCGTGGATGTGTCTACTGTTTTTCATTATTGTTTCACTTTGTCATGATTATTTACATTTGAAGTTTGATTACATGTTCAATTGACATATGATGGAAACCCCATTAACTGACAAATGTTAAAATAGATTTTTAGAAAAATTAGTCAAATTTTGGCAGTGATACAATGCCCTAGAAATTTCTGTTCTCGTGATTGATTAAGCAAAAACCATTGTATTGTATTGATCACTAACATGCATGACTGCCTTGTAATGCAGACGAAAATCAAGAGAAAAGAATGCCTATTTTACTCATAACACAGATAAATTCTAGGGACATAATTCTACTTATAGCCGACAGCTATTAGCAGAAAATCAAGAATATTAACAGTGCCGTAGCCAGACCAAACGGCCAACCGAGGCAGGCGGGAGTTGCTAGGGGGGTTCGGGGGCATGCACCCCCCCGAGAAATTTTGAACTTTAGTCTCTCGGAAATGCGATTTGCAGCGTTTTCTGGGCCTTTCGTTAACTTTTTTTGAGTTAATTTAAGTGGAATTTAAAAAGCAATAATCAGAAACAAGCTACATAATCTGGGTGACCGTTAAGCTCGCCAATGGTTTTGATCAGTATTTGTTCAAAAAAAATTTGAGTTAAGGTGGCTCCGTAATTAATACAAGAGCATTTTGCTGTGACAAATTTTCCGTCATAACTTTTTGGTTTTTAACGCGATGGCTGCGAAACTTTGCAAAGAACGCCAGATATCATTCGGCAATAATACGAAATATTCCGATTTCATTGATGGTAAATATTTCTTGAGAAATTAGCGCTAAAAAGGACCCTACTGTTCAAAGAAAATCGCGTCTAGTAAAAAAATTTGCTGATATTCTTTACTGAAATTTCTGGCATCGGCTTTAATTGATATATTAAGTATGCCAGAGGAATTTCAGAAAAATCGTTGGAGCAGAAGTCCGTAACTAAAAGTCGCTCAAAATTGAGCTGTGAAATTGTTTTGGAATTTCAAAACTAAATTACTATCAGGTAGAAGGAGCCACCAGTTTGAATTTTCGGGACAAGTAAATTCAACGTTTGCTAATTCTTAAAACAAAAGCCGATTGCCTATCGTGCTATTCTTTAAAAGGTACTTTTTAGGTTTAGAAGCACTATAAATTGCTCCAAACCTTGCTCTGACGTCGAATGACTTGTTCTTCGACATTTTTAAAATATCCCTTGGCAGTTTTGGCTCAAACTCCTGCTACATACATTTTGATGTATTGCAATGCATTTTCAACGACTTTTACTGCTGTTCGTTGCTTCCAACTCAGGAAAAAAGTATTGAGATTGGACGGTACCTCGTATCAGAACTCAGACAGAACTGTCCAGCACCTTTGTTTATGACTACAAAATGAGCACGAGCGGCAGTTCTGCGAGGAATTCGCACCTCAACAAGGGGGGAAGAACGACAATGATAACCATGCCTGTGAACCGAATAACATCACAGTGCAAAATAAAATTATCGCAAAAATACTGCCCGTGAATAAATATACAACTCTGAAATTCTTGTCACTCCTTCCTTCAATGAATGGGTAGTTTTTTTCTTGATTATTATGTTTTGCTCTGCAATACATGTTTATACAGATCGGTTCACAGACATGGGCATCATTGTAATTCGTCCCCCCTGGCTGAGGTGCGAATTCCTCGCAGAGCTGCCGCTCGTGCTCATTTTGTAGTCATAAACAAAGGTGCTGGACAGTTCTATCTGTGCTTCGATACAAGGTAGCTTACAATCCCAATGCCTTTTCCTGAATTGGAAACAACGTGCAGCAAGAAAAGCCGTTGAGGATGCATTGCAATACATCAAAATGTATGTAGTAGGAATTTGAACCAAAACTGCCAAGGGATATTTTAAAAGCGTCGAGGAACAAGTCATTCGACGTCAGACCAAGGTTTGGAGCAATTTATAGTGCTTCTAAAACTGAAAAGTACCTTTTAAAGAATAGCACGATAGGCAATCGGCTTCTCTTTTCAGAATTAGCAAACATTGAATTTACTTGTCCCGAAAATTGAAACTAGTGTCTCCTTCTTCCTGACAGTAATTTAGTTTTGAAATTCCAAAACAATTTCACAGCTAATTTTTGAGCGACTTTTAGTTACGGACTTCTGCTCCAACGATTTTTCTGAAATTCCTCTGGCATATTTATTATATCAATTAAAGCCGACACCAGAAATTTCAGTAAAAAATATCAGCAAAATTTCTTACTAGACGCGATTTTCTTTGAACAGTGGGGTCCCTTTAAGCGCTAATTTCTCAAGAAATATTTACCATCACTGAAATCGGAATATTTCGTATTATTGCCGAACGATATCTGTTGTTCTTTGCAAAGTTTCGCAGCCATCGCGTTAAAATCGAAAAAGTTATGACGGAAAATTTTTCACAGCTAAATGCTCTAGTATTAATTACGGAGCCACCTTAACGTACGTAGCCCCTTGAGATCGATGATATGGTAATTTTTTCATAGTATATTGACTGAATTGCTGAATTCTTTGTAATATCATGATGCGTTAAAAATATCCGATGATCGCTTATGTAAAATAAAAATGATCGGCGAAATTCGTCAAAATTTTACCGAGGCGAGTGCCTCGGTTGGCCTCATACTAGCTACGGCGCTGATTAACAGATAACATGAATAGATTGGGAATTAATAAAGAAGCGCAGAAACATTACCCGTTCCGGATTTCTTGAACTGCATTTACTGACTCTTTCTAGCCCGTAGTCTTTCAGAGTCTTCAAGTCTTCCTCAGAGGCCGGTTTCTTTTCTAAGGAGAACAGCGATCGTTGAAATTGTATCAAGTCAATCCTGATCCATACCCAGGACCATAAAAGACAAAGGATCATGGAGTGCAGGATGGAGAGAAAATGTTAAGCACGCTTCGAAAATTTACCACGCAAAGCGGAAATCAGCTAAAGTGAAATCACGAGATGGCTATACCGGCATCCAAAACGCAAAATACGCAATTATTCTGATAAAAAGATGCAAACTAACCTTGCTGCCAAGTAAAGTTGGTGTTTGATCCCGAAACATAGAAATCCCTGGGTTTAAACCAAGGAAACTTGCATCGGCATCGGCATCGTCAGCACATACCGTAAAATTTCGAAAATAAGCCCCGGGGCCGTATATTTTTCAAAGGCCCTTTTTGAGGGGCCTATTTTTGGAGGGGCTTATATTCAGAGAGGCTTATCTACGGAAGGAAATTTGCGTTTCAAAATCGATTGGGCTAGCCTTATAGTTGGAAGTAAATTGACCATTTTTGCTTTGTTTTACTTTGTATTTGAGGGCAATTTTCCAAGTACAAGCCCCCGGGGGGCTTATATTTGGAGGGGCGATTTAACGGAGAGTTTTTTGCGTTACCGGATTGGGGGGCGCCTATATTTGGAGGGGCTTATACATGGAGGGGCTTATTTTCGGAATTTTACGGTATTTCCGCAAGGGAGGGGGAATATACTGTCCCAGAACACATGCGCGAAATAGACTAAGAGCAGTCTCTCCTTTTTCTGTAGTCCGTCGAGCAAAACGAGAGACACGCAAATGGCCACGCGCGTGACTGATGGCGCGAGACGGGAGAGGCACGAAAAAAGCAGTCTCTCTTTTTTCTGTAGTCCGCGCTCGTGCATTGCCCTCACTAAATCTGAAGGAAAAAAGAGACTGCTCGCAGTCTATGCGCGAAATAAAAGACTTGACTACTTTGGGCTTCGTCACGTGTTCCTTCCCTACGAAGGAGGATTTCGTGACGAGCTAAAAGAACGTCTGCGTGGCCTAGTGAGAAGCAGATGTTTTCGGAGCTCTGACAACCCTCAGTGGTTCGACTTCCTCGACTCGCTCTGTAGGTGGTCGTTTAAGGGTGTTTTAACCTATTTGATTGTGATGTTGAGTGCAAGTTCCGTAGGTGGTGTTTCTAAAAGGCTATTACTAAGGCTAAAAGGCTCTTACTAAGTCCACTTTTCAAACATCAGGAAATATAAACCTTGACTTACTGATTATGAAACAGAACATAAGGTAGGTTGATGTTTTGTTTTACTAGCTTATACTAAGTCCGATACTCACAGAGAACTATTCAAACCTTACGCTACTCACGTGCGACAGTGTACTTTACTCCTTAATGGTCCTCTGTTTCACTTCTTAAAACCTAGCTTTAAAACTCTTAACTAAAACTAGCAACGCCTCACATCTTAAGCAATTGATTACGATAAAGAGCATTAGTTCCAGGGCTTGTCCATGCCACTTGCTAAGAGTGATTTAATGACGCTAACAGAAAACCCTACACGTAAATGGTTTCCATTGTATAATTAAGTTTCGAACCATCCGTTTATGAGGTTTTTACGCCGCATTGCTCTCACCGTCTCTTGGCTTTGGAAGATGAAGATCAAGCTTCAGATCCATCATTCAGTAAACCACTCAAGGCGTATAAGATTAAAAACAAAACAGAGAAAAGACAACCATGAGACACAAAACGTTCCCTTAAAGCGGGAATACAACGCCACGGTTACAACCAAACCTTCCAAACTCAAGACATCGTCATGCGTCCCAAATAAGGCAAGGAAGGACTTGTAACAGTGGTTTAACAGATAACGCCCTTGGTTGAGGAACTCCTCGCAATGATTTCAGTTGTCTTGAAAGCTTCATTTCCCTTACAAACAGTTAAATGTTGTCTCAGCTGCGGCCTATATATCATTTCCTATGCACAAATGGGTCAAGCCATCAAGAAGAGTTCAAGTTCTTTACCAAATGTTTCAAGAATTTCGTGCATAATCACTATCTTATTTTAACAAATCATGACTGAGACTACGTAATAATGTTGCATTCAAACACTATACTTATGCTTATGATACTTATGCAGCTGCGAAACGAAAGCCTGTTGGCTTTTAAGCGCAATTGGCTAAAGCTCCGTGGTATCACAGAGGTCAAGGTTCGAATCCTGGCAAGCCCAAGTTTTTCAAGCTTTTTTTCGCAAAGGCATAAGTACTTCGAAGTACTGTTTAAAACTGACGTGCAGGAGTGTTTTATCAAGTATAAAATCTCGTCGTCGAGAGTCAGGGGCACCCAAAGTCGATTTTAATTTCGGAGAATATCTCTTCGGAAGACGATTTGAGATCTAGAATTTTCGGAACATTTGTTGTAAAATTTCTTGCTTGCCTGCCTCTCCTAGGATTTTCGAACATCTAAAAAATGGTATAATTGCCCATTTTTAACGGCTTTTTACTCCAAAAAGGTCACCTAGAATTTTTGGGAGCCTTTTTTCTGGCTGAAATTTTCGAAAAGGTAAGTTTTGATCTCCAGAATTTTCGGATCACTAGACTTTCGAATTCAGCTAGGAAATCGGAAGAGATGAAAAATTTTTAGGGGATAAAAATATGCCTATATCTACCGTTTAAATACTAAAATACGTTCAACAATGCTATGTTTGAGTGGTTTTGAACTATATTTCTCTGGGTTTTTCTTTATCAATTATCAACGAGTTTTTGAAGTTGCGTCTTTACTGTTGCATTAATGTTGCATTCATAAACAAACTGTCCCAATAATACAGTCTAACAGCTGAGCCTCTGTCGCCAGCAAGAGAGAACGCTAGACGATGCTCAAGTACCGTGAACCGGTAGAGTAACAAACAAAGTGTCTTTCCCAAAAATTGTTTGACGTTGTTGGATACATAAAGTACCAAAAACCCTCAATTTTCGCGAAATAATTCTTAAGAACGAATGCCTTTCTCACTTTTGCCTTCCTGTTGACTTTGTCTCGCGGCAGTTTTACCTCGATAAATGCGCACATACGTTCGGAGTTCCAGAGGCCAAAGGCGATCCAACCCTTTTGAGGGAAGGAGGCCAAACAAGAAGGCGATGTATCCATATCAAGTAAGCTGAACAGATCGCCAGTATTAACATTAAACAAACGAAGACAGGAACTTTCTGATCTATCCTGGCAGTCGATTACACATTCCGCCTCACTATTAATTCATTGCATATTACAGCGAATTGTACTGGAAAATAAGGATATCAGTTGGCTTACATAGTTCTCTGTCCTTCCGATACCTTTTCAAATGTCTTCTGAAAGCTTACCTCAGCCCTCCCCCGCGGCCGGGAGTCTAAAGTCTAGCTACAAAACACTAATTACGTAAGCTTTGCCTAGTCCCTGTCTGCGTATTTCCAGGCCCTCTCGGTTAATGCATTTAGCTGACGTCTCAAAAAATCGCTCGGACCACGTGACCCGAAACGCATCGGCGGTGCGCAATAACGAGGTCTGGGGGTCTAAGCCAAGGTACGCCCACGAACATATAACTATCTTGCTAAAAAAAACTATGCCATGCTAATTGCTAACTTTTTTTAAAAGCTAAAACGTGTCTTCGCATCTATGAATTCCAAAAATAATGGCCCAGTTACGTTATGCTGCTCTGTGTATTCTTACCATTTGTGATACGTGTAGTGTACTCTATTATAACTTCAAACTTGGAATTTTAAAATGAAAAGCGTCTTAATCAAGGAAACAATGAAGGAAATAGAAAGGCGAGACGCGGAGGGGAGAGAGAACGAGCGGGGACAAGGCAGCTTGAAAAGTCAAAACGTTGCCCAGTCTTAGAATGAGACGAGGTGAAAAAAGGGACTGTTTAGCCTCCTCTCAGGATATTGAAATAGCTAAAAGTGTAAAACTTACATTACCGTTAGTTATCGAAAAAAATGTTTTATTAGTATTTTTTGCCATTTCTGAACACTTAACAATCAAAATTGCACCGTGGGAGTAGCCCTCGGACCCCCTCTTAGTATGATCACCTTTTTCGCATCTTGGCCTTGCAATTTCTACTTCCTGGTCCCTGGCATAACCCAGAGCCAGGAGACTCAGAACCACGATAAACAACAGGCCGTTCATCTTTCACTCTTCTTTGACAACAGATTGATATCAATAGAAACTGAAAACCAAACTAAAAAATGTCATATTAAAATCTGCAAAGCTGGTCGCACTTTGCGAAAATTATAATTTGCAAGACATCAACCAACCTTTTCAAAGATTTCATCCACGGTTAACTGCTATTTTTTTCTGCTTTATTAACTCGCGCGTTGTCGGGTTATTTTAGTTGAAGTTTTCTCCGGACCGAGTTGACTTTACCCTTTCGGCGCTGACTCTCTTTCCAGGTCTGTTCACTGTGCCCCTGATGAGAATGACAGACCTTCTGAGCGGACTAAAAATTTTTAAAATAACATCAGTCTATGTTGCCTTCTATATTAGTGAGCTCACTAGAACTTAATAACAGTGTAACATAGCTATTTATCTATTTAGTTCTCGTACCATAGCTAAATGAGTATTTACCACTTACTTAATGCTATGCTTTCTTATTAAAAAATAACTAACGTATTTGTGGCTATTCTTCCCGCAGCTGCATGTAGTTTACGCTCAATGAACTGATGTGTATTCATTGAACTACTGGTGTGGTTATTGATCTGTTGTGTACTTATTGAACTGCTGTGTCGTTATTGAAATAACAAAAAGGAAAAAGAATACCCAATCTTACTCAGACCAGAACAACTAGATTGTTCCTCTGAGGTTTGATTGGGTGTCACGTGACGTGGTAGCTCCCCCTAAGCCTATCCCGATTCACCATTTTCACATAGGACATAATGCATCTTGTTTACCTCCCAAAATTTTGCATAACCATTGTCTTCGATTTCTCCTGGGCCGACTGTAATAGTAATAAAATATATAATAATATACTGAAAGATAATTTAAATTAATTATGCAAGAATAAAAACAAATGATTGTCTACAACAC